AAAAAAAAAGCCACTAATGCCTGGAGCAAAAAAAAAAAAAAAAAAGAAAGAAAAAAAAAGACCAGTTGGTGCAAATAATAGATAGGTTAAAATCTGGAGAATGAGAAACTTTGGAGAAAAAGGGCTTTGAAAAACTCCTGTAGATACCAGGGAATCTCTTAGAAAGCTATGTACATGACCACAGAAGGAGTGCTCAGAACAGACTGGGAAGTTTTCACTTCAACTGGTCTTTAGAGTTTGCACAAGTAGAAAATAAAGGGAAAAGTAGAGTTGTAAAAGAAGAGTTGGCTAAGTGTTGAAGTCATACCCCAACAAAGAGCCAGAGTGCAAAGACCTGGGTAGTATTTTCTTTTCTTTTTAAAAAACATAATAATATTCAAAAGTCCAGTTTTCAACCTGAAATACAAAACACGCAAGTATACAGGAAAATATGACCCATGACTAAGATGAAAACAAATGAGAAAACATGGGCATTGGAGTTATGAGACAAAGACTTTTAGTCAATTGTCCTATATATATTCCAATAGCTAAAGAAAATCAGGGATAAAGGAGAAAAGGAAACCAGACATGCCAGGTGTGTGAGCATGTATGGCCAAAATCCCAAGAGGAGAATGGAGAAGTGATTGTGGCCATCCTCCCTGGGTGGTGCTTTCTCACTTTCCCTCTCTCTCTCCTCCTGTCTTTTTCTGGTGAGTACACACACTCTATAACAAATATTTTAAAAATAACAAAATTAAATTTAAGAAAGAAGGAAACCAAGAGAACAATGTCTCAATAAATAAAGATTATCAACCATGACATAGAGATTATAAGAACAAAGCAAACTGAGATTTTGGAGGTGAAAGGAACACGAACTGCAGTTTAAAATTAACTAGAGGGTGAGTCAACAAATGGCATGGTGGTGAAGACTGCTGAACTCCCACATGGCCGACTGTGATTCGAGTCCTGGACCTGGTGGCTTGCTTCCTCTCTCTCTCTTGTTCCCTCCCATGGGCTCTGGCCCTCTCTGGTCAAATTAAAAAATAATAACAAATAAAGTTAAAATAAAATAATTCTTTAAAAATTAAATTAAATAGAGGGACTTAATACCAGATTTGAGCAGTAGGAAGGATCAGCAAATTTGAAGATAAATAGTTTATTTCAATAGAAAAGAAGAAAGAAAAAACAATGAAGAAAAACTGAACAGTACCTAAGGGACGGATGGACCACCATCAAGTAGACTAACATAAAAAAATGGAAGTCCCAGGAGACAAAAGAAATGGGTAGGAAGGACATTTGAACAAATAATAGTTTACAACTTGCCAAGTCTGATAAAACACCGAGAGTACATATACAAGAAATTCAAACTCTAAGTAGGATAAACACAGATCCACACTGAGACACAAAATAATCAAGCAAGGACAACAAAGAGATTTTTTTTTTTTTTGGAAAGGTTTTTTCGCTATAGGGCGCATGCGCTCGCCAGACAGAGAGAGACATAGAGACAGAAAGCGAGAAATCACCCCCCAGGGGGGATGGCCACCCCGCAATCCCTTCTCTGAGTTGTCTCAGTCCCCAGTTTACCTTGTTCATCACAACTCAATCCTCATTCATCTCAATGTGCCTTTTTGCAGGGAAGCCTGTTCTATACTTTCCCTCCCATTTAACTGTACCCCCAAACCCTGCACTATTGTTATTGCACTCCCTGCAATGAATTGTCAGTAATTGCTTAACTGCTTTATATAAACATCTTGAAATCTCACTGAGGGTAAGGACTGTTTAAGACTTAACACTATTTTTCTCTCCCTGACTTCCATAGTAAGTGCTAGGTGAATATTTGCTGAGTGAATGTAAGTGTGAGCTGATTCAGGGGGAAGGAGCTATATATACAGCTAAGTGTTCAGGGTATTAATAAATAGCTTTATTGCCCATGATGAACATTGAAAACACTGTAGTGAGTGCCATAAAGTGTTCTTTTAGGACTGATTGCATTACATTTATAAACTGATTTTAATCTTCATACTATGAGCATTTTATTAAGTTCCAGAAAACATCTCTTTGGGATCAGTTACATTATACATTAAATCTTTTTTTTTGAGAGGTTTTTGCTATAGGACGCATGTGCTCGCCAGAAAGACTGAGACAGAGAGACAGAAAGTGAGAAATTACCCCCCAGTGGAGATAGCCACACTGCAATCTTTTCTTCCCCATTCTCCTCTTGGGATCTTGGTCACGCATGCACACGTGCCTGGCGTGAGTTTAAGCCACTGGGTCCGGGACTTGAACTGCAGTCAATTACATGGGAGTCCAGCGACATAGCCATTACACTAACTGCTGGGCCCCCATTTTTTTTAAAGAGAGGTTTTTGCTATAGGGCATGTGTGCTTGCTGGAGAGACAGAGAGAGAGACAGAAAGCGAGAAATTACCTCCCCAGGGAATGACCACACTGCAATCCATTCCCCTCCATGCTCCTCTTGGGATAGTATGTATTCACCATGAGTTGCCCAGGAATTGGTTCCCATTATTTAAATCTAAAAAAGTGAGTATTGGGGCCAGCAGATGGCTTAGTGCTTTTATCAATGGACTCCCACATATTTGAGTCCCGGACTAGGTGGCTTGAAACTCAAGACAGGCACATGTGCATGTGAGCCCAAAATCCTGAGAAGAGAATGGAAGAGAAGGGATTGGCCATCCCCCCTGTGGGGTGATTTCTTGTTTTCTTTCTCTCTGTCTCTCTGGCAAGTGCATGTACCCTATAACAAAAATATCTCTCAAAAAAAAAAGGAAAAGAAAAAGGCTCACCCAGTTAATTAGATATGTACTTCAGCATTTTATACCTATTTCTCCTTTCTCCTTTGAAACACCAAATCCACTGACTCAAACTACTCACTGAACCTTCTCCTTATTATCAATATATTATGAATCTTCATTTTTGTACTTTTCATACATTCCAGACTTTATTTGCTTCCAATTGGAATTTGCTCCTGAAATTCCAATGGCATCTTTTTTGTTGTTGTTGTTTGGTTTTTGCCATAAGATGTGTGTGGTCGCTGGAGAGACAGAGAGACAGTGAGAAGGAAAGTGAGAAATCACTCCCCAGGAGGGATGGCCATGCTGCAATTCCTTCTCCATCCTCTTCCTGGCATTTTGGGCATGCATGCATGTACACCCAACATGAATTTCAAATCACTGGGGTCCAGGTCTTGAGCTGTGGTCGGCCATGTGGGAGTCTAGTACCTTAACCACTGTGCCACCTGCTGGCCCCAAAGTTGGCATCTTTTTTTTCTTTGCCTTATTTGCCTGGGGGAAAAAATCTACTTAATTCTCAAAAACCCATTTCAAATGTCACTTCCTTTCTGAGGTCAGTGAGTGGCAGGGTGGTTAAGATGACTGGATCCCACACAGCCAACTTCAGGGTTGATTAAGGCACTGGGCCTCAGGGTTAGAGACCTGGCAGCTTAAAAAATATGCTGAGTACCGTATGTGGGTTCCCAGAATCCCAAAAGGAGAATGAAGAGAGGATTGTGGCCTGGCCATAACCCCCGGGTGTTTCTTGTTCTTTCTCTCTCCCAGTGAGCAAAAGCACCCTGTAACAAAACAAAACCTTTTCTTGAACCACACCCACTTCAGGGTTAATTCTATTCTTTGCCCTCTAAGACCTACCTTTTTCACTTGGAGCACTGTGGGGTAGCTAATTGCATATACTCTGGATTCTAAACAAAACAGTCTCTGGGTACTGGCAGGTGGTGTGGTAGTTAAGGGCGCCAGACTCCCACATAGCCACCGTGGTTCAAGCCCTGGACCTAGCGGCTTTCTCACTTTGTCTCTCTCTCATGCTTTCTCACTCTGTCCCTCTCTGGTCAAATTAAAATAAATAAATAAAGTTAAATAAAATATTTTTTTTTAAAAAAAGAAGAGTCTCTGGAAGTAGACATAATAACTCCAGTGCCTTACCCATTCTGAGTTCATCTTCTTATTTTTTATTTTTAAAATTGTTGGGCCAGCAGGTCGCGTGGTGATTAAGGCATCGGACTCCCACATGGCCGACTGTGATTTGAGTCCTGGACTCAGTGACTTGAAAATCATGCTGGGGAGGTCATCAGGTGGTGGTGTGGTTTAGGCACTGAGCTCCCACATGGCTGACTGTGGTTCAAGTCCCAGACCTGGTGGCTTGCTTTCTCACTTTTTCTCTTTGGTCATATTCAAGAAATAATAATAAATTAAATTAAATAATTCTTTAAAAAAGAAAGAGAGAAAGAAAGAAGAAAAGAAGGAAGGAAAGAAGGAAGGAAGGAAGGGAGGGAGGAAATCATTCTGGGTATGTGTGTGTGTGCATGCTCAAAATCCCGAGGAGAATGGAAGAGAAGGAAGGGCTTGTGGTGTGGCCATCTCCTCCTGGGGGAGGGGAGGTGATTTCTTACTTTCTCTCTTTCAGTCTCTTTCCAGCTAGCACATGCACCCTATAACAAAAACATACTCCCCTCAAAAAATTAGTTCTTCCATGAGCAATGGAGGCAGAGAGAGGGTGAAAGACAGGAAGATCCAGCCCCAGACCATAGGTACGTGTGTGCCCAGCGTACTCAAGGAGGTCTTTAGACTTGAACCAAGAACCTTCTCATTTGGGATTGTCTCTGAGAGCATCAAGTTTTACCACTGTGCCAACATCTGGGTCCCCATTCTGTGTTCTAAATTAATATTCTGGTAATATATAAAGAACTGATTGAACTCTGTCACCTAAAAACAAGCTATATCTAAGATTTGGCCAGTTGCCATCTCAAATTCCTTTATAGGAGACAGTGATCCTCGGAAGATTAAATATATCTCTTTGAAAACTTTCGGTCTTTAATGTCTTATGTTGGTTTGGGGAAAGAGGTGTTAATTATTCATTGGGATAAAATTGGCTTTGATAAGTTAAACCAGACTTTTATTTCATGCAAGTTCAAAGCAAAACTCAAAGAACTCAACTAATAAATAAAAGCTGGAGCTGGAATTTACACTTAATCTGTTTGTTCCCAAATAGCACTCTCCAACGACTGAGTCTGCATGGACAAATCTAATGATGGTGTCATCTGAGCACTCTAACAGTTAAAGGAAGGTACTCTTGCTTGTCTGATTCCTTCCCCCATCCCTCATTCCCTCTTCTCCTTTCCTTCTTTCCTGTCCCTATTTTCTTTTCTTCTTTCTTTTTTGGTAGTAAGTTACAGTAGGTACTTCTTTTTTGTTTTGTTTTGTTTGTTTGTTTGTTTTGAGAGGTTTTTGCTATAGGGCACGTGCACTCGCCAGAAAGACAGAGAGATAGAAAGCAAGAAATCACCCCCCAGGGGGGATGGCCACACCGCAATCCCTTCTCCTCCGTTCTCCTCTTGGGATCTTGGGCACACACACCCATGTGCCCAGCGTGAGTTTAGGGCACTGGGTCCAGGACTCAAACCACAGTCGGCTACATGGGAGTTCAGTGATATAGCCATTAAGCTAACTGCTGGTCCCAATAGGTACTTCTTTTTAATATGTTTTGTGACTAATCTATTCTTTGGTGTTTAATCTCTTTTGTTTGTTCATAGTGGTTAGGAATAAAATCTATGAGATTGAGCATGATTCACATTTGCTCTCAAGGGCTCAGATTAAAGATTGAGTGAAAGATTCTAAATATGGCCCAGAGGTGGCATGGTGGTTAAAGGTGCTGGACTCCCACATGGCTAACCACAGTTCAAGTCTCAGACCTGGTGACTTGCTTTCTCACTTTCTCTCTCTCTCTCTCTCTGATCAAACTGGAAAATAATCATAACAAATAAAGTTAAAATAAAAATAATTCTTAAAAAAAAAAGATTCTAAATGCTACGTCATTCTCTTGCGTAAAAGAACTCCAAGGAATGGAAGAGATAGTGGTGGAATTAGATAATTAGGTTTGCAGAGCTAATTTCCATCCTCCATGATCCATACAGTTTGGGCTTTTTTGAGAGATTTTTGCTATAGGGTGTGTGTGCTTGCCAGATAAAGATGGAGAGACAGTAATGAGAAATTACCCCCCAGAGGGAATGGCCATGCTGCAATCACTTCTCTTCCATTCTCCTTTTGGGATTTTGGGCACGCACGCATACATACCCAGCATGAGTTTCAAGCCTTTGGGTCCAGGATTCAAACTGCAGTCAGCCATGTGGGAGTCCTGCAATGTAACCATTACATCATCTGCTGGTCCCAGATCTATAGTTTTTGCAGGGATCAGACTGGTGAATTAAGTGGGCATGTAATGGAGACCACCAGCCCTACATCCTCTACAACTCTGAGGGTGGTGCTATTCTCTGCAATTTGCTCTAGGAGTAACTATCTTGGCCAGAGAGGGCAGTTTCAGGGGCTTCCACTTGACTTTATTATAGTTCCTTTTACTATTATTATTATTTAATTTGCCAGAGGTGGGAACCAGCAGATAGCATAATGTTTACGTTGCTAGACTCCCACATGGCCAATCACAGTTTGAATCCCAGACCTGTAAGCTTGAAACTCACTCCAGGCAAGTGTATGTTCATGCCCAAAATCCTGAGAGGAGATTGGAGGAGAAGGGATTGTGGTGTTGCCATTCCCCCTAAGAGAGCTCATTTCTTCTTTTCTTTTTTTATTTTAAAAAATTATTTTATTTGTTTATTTATTTTAATTTGACCAGAGAGGGACAGAGTGAGAGAGTGAGAGAGAGAAAGACAGGGAAAGCGGGAAAGCAAGCTACCAGGTCCAGGACTCAAACTGTAGTCGGCCATGTGGGAGTCCAGCGTCCTTAACCACCATGCCACCTGCCGGTCTCTCTTTTCTTTTTTTCTTTTTCTTTTTTAATACTTTTATTATTCACCCATTAACTCCTTAATATGCCAGTCACGAGCTACTTTTCAGCAGTTACATCCCCTTGATCATGGCTGCATGAGAATGTGATTAATTGGAAAACAGGGAGACCAGAGAATGGCCAGAGGTGACATCATGCAGTCTATGCCATTGCAATACAATTATCAAGTTTGCTGGTGGTTTGGTAAAGCCGGTTTAGTTCTCTTCTCTTTGCCAAGGATTCTCACATTTGTGACAATTGGACCAACACTTGGTAGGGTTCCATCTCCTGGTTTGAATTCTCAGTGACTTTATCCAGAATCTCACTGGCTACTGGTCACTGTAACACTAGCCCCATCTTTCCTGCCCCTATGCTGGGGCATTTCCAATTGTAAAGGTAATATTGCAGGTTGTCTTCCCCTATGTCATACTTGACCTTCTCCAGGAAGGTTTTGTTCTCCGTGAGATCCAGTGCATTGAACACATCAAACACTTTCATTTTGGTGAGAACAAGGGTGTCACTCATGAGGTCTAGAATTGGGGTCTGGGTGTGAATGTTGTAGAAAGAATAAGCAGCTTTTAGACTCTTGTGGGTTGATGGTTCATGATGGTGGAGGGAAACTGTAAGAGCTCAGGAAGTCTGTCACCTCACCGTTCGCATTCTCCTCCATGAAAGTGTTGATGATATTCTCCTGGGGGTAGGACCAGTGCTCCACCTCCTCCTGACTCATGACCAGTGTGAAGTGAAACTGCTTCAAGTACCTGGTATACTACTGGAATGTCCTTTTTTTCCATTGGTCGCAGCCCAGCTGTCTTGGGAGCCTTTGGCAGTCGGTAGAGCTTCATGGTACACTGCATGGTCATATTTCTGCTCAAGTGGGAGAACTTCACTTCAATCAGCTTTCATGGGTTTAGGGACCGATGCCAGTACCTGCAGATGCCAATAGGCTTTGGCAGAACCACGCCAGCAGTATAAACAGCTTGGAAAATGCCCTCCAGGCGAACTCACCATGTTATCTTGCAGAGCAGGATTAGAGCCACCCTTTTGGAGCACAGTTTCTTGTGGATGCACAGGAAGTTGATTTCTACCATTTTCTTCTCTGTGTCATAGATATGGATGTTTGCTGGGTGCTAGTGAACCCAACCAGTTTTTGAGTTGAAACCTCTTGAACCCTGTAGTGCCAGGGTCGGGGGAGCCAGCCAGGTGGCCGGAGAGCCCACAAAAGAAATTCCAGGGAATAATCAAATCGGAACATGTTATCATTATCTTCCACATAGTTCTCATTCAGGAGTGTGTATCGTTCTTTCAGCACGCCATGGTCCCCCAAGTCTAAGGCATCCCAGGTGAAGCCCTGGGGCAGGTATAGGGCTCCTGGCAGATGTTGTCTTTGTCAGGCTCCAGAAGACCATGAGTGTTCACCACCTCTCCAAGTTTAGGGAGAGGCTACATGTATCCCAGAACTGGTAGCTTCGCTTGCTAGCCTCTTCCACGGTTTTGGCAGGTCCTTGGCCCACTGAGAATAGCTCAATGGCCTTCTGTATTTCCGGGATCTTCTCTGTAGGCAAAGAGTTTATCTTCACAGGCTGAGCCTGGGTTGAATTTGTCTCACTGCCTTTTTCTTTCTTCTTCTTCTTTTTTTTTGGTTTCTTTTTCTTTTTCTTTTTTTTTTTGGCTCCAGTGTCATTGGCTGGACTCGAACCACCCCAGTTATAGCTGTTGTCCTTCTCATTCTCACAGTCACTGCAGAGCTCATGTCTGGTTCCGTTCCTTTCCATCATCGGCGGCAGCTGAGGTGCCGGCAGCTTCCCCTGCTGTCTCACTGTCGCTCGCCATCTTGAGTTGTGAGAGCCAGGCTGGAGGGGAGGACCTGATTTCTCACTTTCTGTCTTCAGGTGAGTGCACATGCCCTATAGAAAAAAAAAAAAAGAAAGAAAGAAAGGAAGAGAGAAAAAAGAAAAAAAGACTGTAAAAAAAAAAAAAAATTGCCAGAGGGTGTGTGCACTTGCCAGACAGACAGTTTTAGCAAACCTCCCTTTGGAGGATGGTCATGATGCAAACCCCTTTGGGATTTTGGGCACATATGCACATGCACCTAGCATGTTTTTCAAGCTGCTGGGTTCTGGACTTGAACCGTGTAGTTGACCATGTGGGATCCAGCTGTCTTAACCACCATGCCACTGGCTGGCCTTACTATAGTTCTTACTTTACATGTCAAGGAACCAATGTGAGAGTTATGTCAACTGCTAAGTATGACCACTAGATATTCCACTTGTGAAACTGGAGAAATGTCCACTGTGGGCTCGGTGAGGGAGTGGGGTCAGAATCCAATGTATTATTGATCCCTTATTGGTATAAGGGACACTGAGGGTGCTTTAGATCTGTCTTCATTCATGTGGATTCTGTAACCAATGGCTTGGAAATATCCAAGAGAAACAGAAAGCACCCCTGCAATGGGGCACAGTTATGCAATTCTTTTCCTTCATTTCTCCACCCTGTCAGAATTTGGGGCACAAACACACACACAGACACACTCAACATGTTTTCTAAGCTGCTGGGGCTGGGATTTGAACTGCACAGTTGGTTATGTGAGTTTGGCTGCCTTAACCACCAGGCCATAGAGCCACCCCCAATTTCGCAGTTTTAAGTACTATTTCCCTCACATCCTCCAACACCAGAGACTGAATAAGTCAATACATTCCCTTCTACACATATACCCATCACTTGGAATCCTATCTTTATACCTCTGCTTCTTAGGATCATTGCTGGTACCCACTGTGTTAATGCAGGCTATCTGAAAGTGTGGCTTGAGAAAGAATTTATGTGTATATGTGTATTGAGGGAATGCTTTGGAAGGAAGGTAATGAAAGGAGACAGCCAAGAAAAGAGTTAAGCAAGGGCATAGTTTCAGTGGGAGATAAGGCTCCCCTTCATCAAAGAACAGTACTCAGAGGAAGCGGGTAGCTGGGAGTTATTAGCAGCTAGCACTCATGCCTGCTGGGAGGGGATCAGCCAGTACAGGGGATCTGTGTAAGGCATTAACAGTGACCACTGCAAGTTAAGTGTCTGGAGGCTCTAGAAAATCTGATTCATTCCTCTTTGACACTATTGCTCTTTAAGCATGTGATCTCTCAGACTATGGATGGGGGGAACTTGCAGCTAGTTTGTCTCTAGTATAAAGGCAGGTTTTTTTTTTTTTCTTTATTTGGAGAGGTTTTTTGCTATAGGACGCGGTGCATGCGCTCACCAGAAAGACAGAGAGAGACAGAGAGACAGAAAGCGAGAACTCA